ATAGATAGATAGATAGATAGATAGATAGATAGATAGATAGATAGATACCGTAGGTAGGTAGGTAGGTAGATACCGTGTTTCTCATATAATAAGGCCGGGTCATTTTTTTTTTTGAGCCCCGAAAAAATGGCTAGGTCGTCTTTTCGGGGGTGACTTAATTCCCCCCCCCTTTGCATCTTCGGGCAGGCGGGCAGCGACGGCTTGGATGTTGACCTCTGCGTTGGTGGGGCACTTTGTATCAGGGTCAACGCAGGTAGCACCATATCCGGGTGTGCAACAAAAGTACTTCCTAACAGCAAGCCCCCTCGCCATTCCCCACCCCCCCGCCCATTTCGCATGTTTTAATATAGGCCTTAATTTGGGGGGAGGGGCTTAATTTCATTTCATGGCTGTAAAACATGCTGGGACTTCCTATTGGGGGAGGCCGTATTGTTGGAGAAACAGGGTAGATAGATAGATAGATAGATAGATAGATAGATAGATAGATAGATAGATAGATAGATAGATAGATAGATAGATACCGTAGATAGATACCGTAGATAGATAGATAGATAGATAGATAGATAGATAGATAGATAGATAGATAGATAGATACCGTAGATAGATAGATAGATAGATAGATAGATAGATAGATAGATAGATAGATAGATAGATAGATAGAGATTTATAGCTCTCCTCTACCAGTAGCCAAGTGACCCTTTTGCAACCTCAGATTCTTCACAGCGTTGACACCAGATTAGCCACACACACACACACACACACACACACACAAACGTTGGTTTACATTTCCAGAAATTCTCCTTGACTGGAAATATTTTTGTCCTGAGGACTATATACTTGGCCTCAAACTCAGTTTTAAAATCAAGAGGGTTTTATTATACTGTTGGATGGGAAGGAGGTGTTTGGACAGTGAGCGCTATTTGGTTTACAACTGCAAAAATAATAATTCCTAAGCATCCGATTTCCATAAGCTTCCGATGTGGAGCAATCCACTATGCAGTATCTTTGGCAAAAATCTGGTGTAGCTTCTCTCCCCTCCCCCCCGTCCTCCCCGAGATTCCAGTCCACCAGGGAAATAAAGGCGAAATCTACGTTAATTAGGGGGAATACGTGAGCATCTCGATAGAGAACATTGCAGTCAGAAAAATCCAGAGAGATTCAGGTAGAGGCTGAACGAGGCGGGCACCTGCCTTGCTACTGATGAAGGTCCTTCTCCACATGGAAGCTCATTCTTGACATCAATGGTGGTACTTCCTCCTCCCTATCTCCCCCTCCCCAGCCCCCCCCCCGTGGCCCCTGCTTTAGAGGTGAGGCCATCTCCTTACTCGACTCTATTGGGGGTCCCTCTAGGCCTTGAAGTCCGTTGACCGGATTTTCATCTCTACCCTCTTGAGGGAATAGAGTTTCCCACGCCAGCTGTACCAGGTGATGCCATCGGTGCTCTTGTTATGTTCATCCTTACGATAGTAAACCCCGTTCAGGTTGGAGTCTGTGCAGCAGTTGTACCAGTAGCCGCCTGTTGAGAAAAGAGGAAGTTGGGAGGTTTATGAAACCCTTTTAACGCTTTTAATATAGTGATTATTCTAGAAAAGGGCCTCATCGTCAGCGGATCTCTGCGCTGGCCCCTGGGCGAAGGCCAACGAATTGCACAGCGTCGGGGAGATGGCCGTGCCAGGGTTCCAGAAAAACCCAACTCCAATTAAAAACTCCGAGACAGGCATTTTCTCAAAGCTTCCTTTTATTAGAGTAGGTATACTGGGAAAAACCACATCTGGGAAAACCCGAATCTGAAAGTTCCGGGTTTTTCTCCAATAAATAAAAAATGACAAATCCAACCCCCTGCGCTCATCATTCCATCCCATGCCTGAATCGCCATCCGTCCCAACTTGAGACTTCCCCTCACCCAGGTGCAGAAATAACATGACCTTGACTGAGAAGAAGAATGCTATTATGTCTTAACTACATACGCTCCATGAAATTCCCCCCTCCCATCTTCCCAGGCTCAAGAATGTGGAAGCTTCTGGTGCTAATATGGCTTCCAAAGCTGACAGGCCGTTGCCCTCGACTTATAACAGTTCATTTAGGGACTGTTCAAAGTTACAAAGGCACTGAAAAAAAATGACTCGGGGCCGTTTTTCACACTTACGACCATTGCATCCTCACCACGTGATCCACTGGTTCATAGTTATGACGATCACAGTCTCCCAGGGTCGCCTGATTCCCCTTTTGCGACCTTCTGACAAGCAAAGTCCACGGGGAAGCCAGATTACGCTTAACCACCGTGTGACTAACTTAACAACTTGTGGCAAGAAAAGTCGTAAAATGTGCGGCAAAACTCACTTAACAAATGTCTCATTTGGCACAAATAAATTCTGGGCTCCATTGTGGTCGTACGTCGAGAACTACTGTATTGAAAATGACACCACTCAACTCATCCTGCGTGGAGGAGGTATTTTTTCCTGCTCCTGCTAATTAGCTGATGGAGCAGGAAGACGACTCAAAATGCTATGTAGATAGTCCTCAGCTTACAGTTCATCTAGTGGGTGTTCGAAGTTGCAACATCACGGAAAAATGTAACGTGATCATTTTTCACGTTTGCCTCCATTGCAGGATCGTGTCATGAGATCAAAATTCAGACACTTGGCAACTGACTCACATTTATAACGGTTACAGTGTTGTGGGGGTCACATGATCCCCTTTTGCAAAATCAATGGCGGAGCCAGATTCGCTAGTGATTGAAGAACTGCAGTGATTCACTTTGCCAAGGTGGCAAGAAAAATCGTAACCTGGGACAAAACTCACGTAACGAATGTCTCACTCAGGAACAGAAATTTTACGCTCAATTGTGGTTGTAAGTCAAGGACTACAAGAGAAATGGGGAGATTCAAAGAACAGAGCAATCAACCCTTAGGAAGAATT